AATTGCTGAAATTTTCAGGTCAAACTGTCTTTGTTTTCTAATTTTTCTCAAAATCATCCTGGTCCACCTTATACTCTATTATAAGAGAATACAGCACTATTTTCGTGATCATGATTTTTGGGACAAATTTCAAGATCCCAAACTTTTGATTGGATAATCCAGTAGTACTAAGATAGTAGCCTTCGCAAAAACGTTTGAGCTAAATCTATCACATTGATTGGGAGAAAGCCTATTCTAAAAATAGAGTACTTTTATATGTATATTATGATATATGGTTAGAAATGTCGATGATACTTTGTCACTACATATGCATGATTGTATACGATGGTTGTGTTGCCCATCTCGAAATATATGTCTGGTAAAAATTTCAGGTCTCTATCACGTCCTGGTGAAGAGATAGCATGAAAATACTGCATTTAGACGACTAACAAAAGATTTCAAAAATTGATAAAAAGGCATTTTTAGTTCTTTCAGTTCGTATTTCGTATCTCAGGCAAATGTCAACCTTTAGAGCTAAAAATTTGGTTTTATACCTAAAAATCTTTTCTCTACAAGAAGGGCTCACTCTCGACAAAATCTGAGAACATCGATTGAGCAGCTTTGGTTGTCCTTCTTGTGCAGTGACTCTTATCCATTGAGGGATTCAAGATATTCATAGATTGATATTCACCATAGAAATAAAACTTTTTTAGAAAATTGAAAATATTGGTACTTCGGATTAACTTAAAATTGTATAGTTTTACTTATTACTGTCATTGATAAGTCAAAGAAAAGGAAAAAGAAAATGTGGACATGTGGATTCTTTGTTTTTGATGTATGTTGATAACTTCTTTTTTTTTTACGAGGTTGTTGCTCGCATACATCTGTGTCTCTTTCTTCTATTTTATTTCTAATCCCTTCTCAGATCTTATACAAAACATTCTTTTCCATTGTATGTTGTATTTATAACACAAAAGCTAAAGGAAATAATCTTCAAATTCTTTTATTTTATTTTTTCGATAATAAGTATCAACGTTAATAGGTAACGGTCTAATACAAGTGAAGCCTGGTTTGTGAGAAGATGGATGTGATCTCACAATCAGTTGGCTCTTTTTTGGAGGTATTTTTTTATTAACTTTAATCGGTCTTCGTCGTATCTATCATATTTACCGACCAAAACAACATCAAAGAAAAATTAATCAGAACGACAAACGTTTACCACGACGTGAAGATACAATAAAGGACTTCTCACGTGCTATTCAAACCAACGATCAATTCATTCTTCCTGTTAATCCCAGTAAAAGAACTGAGACTCATCAAGATGTTTATTTTTTGTCAATTGCAAAGTCCTCTACAACTTGTATTGCCGGTATGGATATTTATGCAATCCCAATTGATGAAATAGATAAACCTATTAATCAAGTTTTTCCATTGATCGAAGAACGAAAATTAATTTGTTATTGCGATGGTAGTTATTCTCATTATATGCAAATAGGTCACTTTGGATTTCGAGCTTCTAATGGAGCGCATAGAATTCGTTTTTTTTCTCCTCGTGATCCAAAAACTGGTAGTACTGATACAGAAGTTCTTGCTGCATGTCTCGCCATTCAGTATGCATTAGAAAAGCATTACAATAGATTGATTATCTATACTGATAATTCTAAAGTAGAACAACTTCTCAAACGTCCTAGAAAGAAAGACATTATTAATTATTCTAATACTTGTCAAATTCTTAA